CAGCAGGAAATAATTGACTCTTTCTCATACTAAAGAACCACCAGTTGGTCTTTCTGCTCTTTGAAATAGTCAGAGCTTAGCAAATAGCCCTGTTTCCCACGCGACCAGGAGCGGGAATGGCAGTGGTGGGTCCCTGCTCCCTCCCACTCTCCTGCAGGCTCTCTTCATTAAAACACTCAGGGAAGCTGAACAGTGCTCCAGCCCTTGCTAAATACCCCATAAAGTTGTCAAGCAATTATATCCACCGAAGAGAGCCCTGCAGGGAGAGCAAAGAAAGGCTCTGAAAGACAGTAAAAGCAGGTCTTTTCACATTCACTCATCTGCTGCGGAAAGAAAGGATCCCATACCTCCCTAGAGCAGGAGCGACTGCACAGCAGTGCTTTGGGCAGAACATCACAGGGGACTTTACTGGATGCTCCTTCCCCTTGCAGGTCATGTTCTTCCATCTCCTGCGTCCACAGAAAAGGTCACAGTGCAGGAACAAAGAGTGACTGTGATTTAAGGCTGACATTTACTGCTTCCCAGAGGAAAGGGCGTGCAGCTTGCAGGTGCTGCCGGGGCCCGGGGAATGGAAGGGTAGCACTGAATGATCCACCTCAGAGCCTTGGCAGGCACTTTCGTTGCTGGAGCTAAATGCCATGATTACTGTGTAGCATTGCCCATGTAGGAAGCAACGGCATTTTGCTCCAGCCACTTTCAAGTACAGCTCTAGGCCTGCTTGCAGTTTCCAAGAAAGTTGAATTCAAAGGGAACAGATTTACGAGGAGGCTGGATCCCTTGGCTGTGGAGATAAACCTGGAAACACACTCTAATAACAAATCTATTGCCAGAGCAGATGACTCCGCTATCAGAGCTGACTTCAAAGGGTGTGATATTACCACAGAGTCTTCCTTTTACTCTATGTGGACGATGCCTCTGGCAGCTTGCGTGGCAAAGGCAGCAAGCTGGCTCTCCCCCACAGCCCCATCATAAGAGCTCATGGCTGGATAGCAGGAATTGCAAATTGAGAGTGGCCTCAAAAGGGAGAGCTGCGACAGTAAGGAGAGGGACCGTGGCAGAGGAGCCAGGAGCTCTGAACTCCTCACACCAATACCTTCGGGGCCTAGGTACCTCACTGACTTCTCAGCCTCGACCCTTCCATCTGTACAGCCAGGATACAAACAGCCCAGCACATTCCAAGGTGCTCTCAGGGACTAATTAGTTTGTTTCCATTTAACTCTTTGGTAGCCTGTTCCCTCCTTCTCATAGATCCCAGAGGATCCTATGAACTGTCTAAGCTCTGCCACATGATCCCAGAAAAAAACCCAGTGCTCTACCCTGTATGGGAATTCGACTACACTACATACATTCTTCTACACCTGGTATGCATCTTAGAGGAAAAATTTTAATTCCCAAGATCAAACATCCTGATTTTAAAAGGTCCTGATTCGGCAAGCAAGCATGTCTAGCTTCTCACTAGATAACAGTTCTCCTGTGTTTTTCTTATCTGGTGCCATAAGGAGCTAGTTGAGCATCCCACTTCTGGCCTCCGGTGTGAGGCAAAGTGTGTCTGATGCCTCTCTAAGGAACCTTCTGTTGCAGTAGGTGTGGAATGAGCTAAACAGCACAAGCTCAAGGGCTCAAGGTTGTGCTATAATAGGCTTTACAAAAAGCTACTGGTGGAGCAAGGTAGAATGGAAACTGCTTGGGACTCAGCCCACAGACTCAGCCTCGGAGAGGAGAAAGCTTTCAGAAAACTAGCCCTACAGGAAGAGCCAAAAGGGGAAAAGGGGTCTCCTTCGTCAATACAGAAAAGTGACAAGTGGCTGGAAGACACACAGCACAGCCTCCCTGGGCTCAGCACGTCTGCCTGGACATCACGCCCAGGGCACTGGGCCAGGTGCCTTTCTCTAACCACTTCCCTGGAGAACACGCAAAGTGAGTTTGATGGAGTAGCATTGTTTCCGCTTCATTAAAGATCCTTTGGACAGACCTTAAGACAAGATGTCAATTAACAAAGGGTCTCACGTTGGCTTCCCAGTGTCAATTTATATGTTGTCTCTACTTAAAAGTGTTAGGAAAGTATAAAAGCATAAAATTAGCTATACTTTGTGATCTTGGTGATATTAAATATCCTTTTGAGTTAGCTATATACAAGCTGTTTGACATCTGTAAGTTCTACTAGGCAGAAGCTTTTGGACACACACAGTAGTTATTTAATAGTTTGGGTACACAGTATGGAAGGTGCTAGGTATGGAGCGAGCAGTGGCCGCACACCAGCCGTTGGGTGCTGATAGTTTGGTGTAGAGGGGCGGTTCTTAGCTCAGTAGTACTGCTGTGGAAGCGCTCTGGCACTGGCCTTGCCAAGGTGCTCTCCTGCCCATGCCGCTCCTCCCTGCCAGTAGACGCGCCAGGTGGGCTCGGTCAAGGTGCCAGGCAGCAGCAGCTGCAATCTCAAGCCCTCACATAGCTAGCACTGCGGCAAGATATTCTCGTGTCTCTGATACGCTCTTCGCACACTCCTCCTCCCCAGTCCCCTTTCAGCTGCTGCCCCCTTTGCTCACCCTGTTGCCTCCATCAGCAACCTCCCCTTCACAAGTGGCAGCAGTAGTGCGTTGGGGACATACCTTCTCCCTCCTCTTCTCCCCTCCTCATCCTGTCCATACTACAGCTCCAATGATGAAGTCAACATAAGGGGCAGGTGGGTGGTTTCCTGTTCCTTGTGCCAGCAGCTGCTGTGTCGACAATGAAAAGCCAGGGAGGAATAAGCTCAAAGCTGTAAAGTATGTGTGTGTGTGTGTGTGTGCGTGTGTGTGTGTGTGTGTGTTTTCCTCTCTCTCTCTCTCTCTCTCTCAAATCAAAGTCCATTAATAATCAGCAGAGCGTTTAATGAGAGGCTAGAAGGAGTTCTCAGCATTAAGAGGGGATTAAGGGTAATCTTCACTGCTTATGCCTCCTTGCTGTGTGGAAGAGGCTCTGACCTGCTCCTGCCAAAAGGGCCCAGGGTGGCTAGGAGTGAGGCAGGGCTGAGATACACATCCCTGGGGGATGTAGGGCTGCAACTCACCTGATGAAAGGTCCCTGTGAAAAGAAAATGAGACATGGTTTAAGCATGATCAGTTTTGAAGCAGCCATTCCCAGCTAGAAATCATCATGAGTTTATCTTAATTAATCAAACAGGGGGCTGCAAGTTCTCCTGGCATGAAAAAGAGAACATCTTTTCATATGAGCACACAGCTCTAATTCAAATTTGGCCAAACAGATCCTCTGCAAGTTTGCAACGTGTAATTTGCTCAGGCTGGCACTGCAGCCTCTGAGCTGGGACGAAACTAAATTGCTAAATCACAAACCTTGTACCATATGGGTTCCTTACAGACCAGACAGGGGATGTGCTGTCCTCAGCGTCTCTGGAGTAAACATGCATGAGAAAGGATTGATGCATGGCATGTTCCTTGCTAGCTTGCCTGAAAGGGAGAATGAATTCCCTCTGGGGCCATCCCGCCCTCTAGACCTGCTCCCCAGAACATCACGAGCTTCACTGGCTGCCGCAGACAAAGAAGCAAAATTTCCAGCAGTTGCATATAACTGTAAAAGAAACTGAACATTTGGATTTGGCACCTCAAGGCTCTGCTGGAGATGCTGACCCCCTACAACCAGCTGGGAAACTGAAATCATGTCTTCTCTACCTGACCCCAGTCCAGCTGGCACTACAAAGAAGTGCAATTGATCCAGGGAGCCAAAAGCGGAGTGGAATATCTTGGAACAGTGATTAGATTTTAGAAAGTCATGATTTCATCATGTATCTCCTGGGAGCAGAGAGAAAAGCATCCTTCTGGATTAAAATTTTGGTTCCAAATTATTCACTCCACTCTGGGAGCAGGGAACTCATTTTCCTGGCTTTGTATTTCTGTCAAATGCTGTGCGTAACTCTCTTCTCGTACTGCTTTTATACTGGTTTGACGCCACTGATTTATGTGTAGCTACTCCTAATCTGTGGCAGCGAAGGAGAAATGCAGCCAGATCTGCTGACTTCAACTGTCCCTGTCTCTCTCTCAGGTCTTGCTATCAAGGGGGTTTTGTAAAGTGCTCTTGCCCATCCATGCCAGCTGATCTCTCCCATCTACCTTCAGAGTCCCATGTTGGAGCCTCCAAGCTCTAGGTTGCAGCTTTGCCGAGCGCTTCCCTTCCACCTCACAGCCCTTCGCCCTCTCTCACCAATTCCCAGAGAGGTTGTTTGTTCTCCTCCAGCTCTGCTATGTCTTTCCAACTCCCCCACGTTTTATGTCATCAGAAAACTCAGACATTTCTTACGCCATGCCTTCCTCAAGGTCACAAATTTTCAAAAGGGACTCAGGCACCAACTGTGGTGCACTGTACGTTCCCTTTTCCCAGCCCAAAGCCTTTTCACTGATACTTTGCTCTCCGTTTCTGTGAGGTTAATTCTTCTGTTTTCAAAGGCCTCCTTGACCTAAGCTGGCTAAATCAGTGGTAGCTTCTCCTAAAAATATCCAGGAAAGACAATCACGCTGGGATTTAAGCGTACAGCAGTACTTTGAGAAGGGCGAAGTGCCTGGCTGCAGCTGGAGACTGTTTCGTCTCCCATCTCTCAACTCCGTCATGTCCTCCGTATGTTCTAGCAAATTCATTAGGCATGACTCACAGACCTTCCCTGTGCACATTCCCATCTGCTGACTGCCCCTTACTAAAATTAGACCTTACTCTGATTGGCACATGGGTTCAGTCACGGGGGAAGGTGAGGAACTGCAGACCCACATCCCTTCCTCCTGTCACAGCAGGGAGCTAACTCCAAAAGGGACCAGTGCTCTGGCTGAGAAGGGCGATCTGTCTTCCTGGCTCAGCTTGTCCTTGGCCCTGCTGCTGCAGCCGACAGCAGACAGTGCATGCAGTGACACTGGGGACGATAAACACTTACGTCCTCTTAAAGGTGGCTGGAGACCACCGACTCATTTCATGAAGGCAATCCCCTAAGAGATGATAACCCCCTGGGCCAGTACTGACTTGATCATATACTCCAAAGAAGGACACCTGCCTCTATGAAATCCTGGAACCCCTGGTTGCTTGCTGCTCCTCCTGAAGTCCCAAATTTGTGCGAACTGGGCCACGCATCTTTCACCGACCTTTTAGCTCACTGACTCACTAGAATGAACCTGGGTCTGAATGATTTGTCCAGATGTCCTATTCCTAAGGGTCTCACTAGCAGGCCTGGTAGATGTGGGTCTCCCATCTGCCACAAAGGGAAGCTCTGCAAGCGGGACCCTGGGTGTTGTTTAGGGAGGAGAGAAGGGAATAAGGTCATTGCTCTGCTAATTGTAGAACAGGATTGACCTTCAGCTGGGGAATTTTGTGCTCCCGTGTTTTCTCTGTTCCCTCGGGAACATTCACCAGGAGTGAAGTCAGTTGTTCGGAGACACTGACACTAGAGCTGGAATATTTTCAGCCACATCCAGAGAGCTGTGGCTGCCTATAAATCCAACAAGTGTTACTGGAGATGTGCACAAATGCATTCTTTTACTGTTGACCTCAGCCCCAGCCCCAGAAGGGCAGTGTTGTGCAATGGTTACAAAGCAATAAAAGTATTATTTTTTGATAAGAGTCAGAAAAAAACGACCCCTTCTCACCCTACTGACCTCCCTGGGATAGTCTGAATCCCAGCAGCCTGGTTAGCACTTACTGCCTCCGCTTAGGGGCAAGCCTTATAGATTATGAATTAAATTTTACCAGTGGAGAGGGAACAAGAATCCAGCCTGCTGCACTCAGCACTGGAAGGACTGTGCCAAGCTCATGAGGTAAAACTTTTTCCTGAGATGCAGAGAAGGGCTTTGCACTGTGCAGCCCCCCCAGGAAGAGGTTCCCCATGAGGGTGTGCAGGAGGACATGAGCCCAACTTGTACACCGGCGCCCAGCTCGCCTTGGCAAGGCTGGCAGCTACGCACATCAGCAGCTGTGCTCGAGCTGGAAACAAACACTAAACGCAGAGCCTCAGGTTACTGCTTTCACGGCTAGCCCTTTTCACATTACAGTGGTTGTCGGTGCCATTACCGCATGTTTATCCTGATAGCTTAAGTGGACAGTTGTTGAAGTTCACTGACCAACAGGCCATTTGAAAGACGGCCCATCAGCCTCACAACACGTACCTTTAAAACGCGTGGACTAAGAAAGAGGGAAATCATTGCCACCCCACGTGCCTCACTGGCATTGCCCGCAAATTCTATCAAACCAAGGCGGGGAGGGGGCGGACGGACAAGGAAACACTCCCTTCTTTACTACACCTGAATTTCAAATCTCATCAATGCTCATCAAAGCATTCACCTTTTCACACTTCCAAGGCAGGTTTTGCCTTTCCTCCCAGCCGTCATTGTCAGACTATAACAGGAGACACCAGAGAAAAAGTGGTACACGGCTGAGAAGGATGAAATGAGTGAGATAATGAGTGGTGTGCTGTGCTGTGGTGTCAACAGAAGCTGTTTCCAACAGTTAGATTTTTCACACATCTAACACAGCTTCACATTCTCAGCAGAGATCTCCTAGAGATCTCTCACTGATAATTAAAACCTGGAATAGCTGCGATTTCATGCCCCATGCCCAGAGCCACCTACAGGAAGGTCATTCACCACTCAGTTTCTCATGCCTTGGACCCTGGCTAAATCCTATTTCCTTTTAGGGCCCATGAGTAAGGTCCTTTCCCACTCCCTCGCCCTTGCTCTGTCTCCTGCCTCAGCTGTGACTTTGCCTCGATAAAGGCTCTGCTTTCCTTCCTTGCAGACAGCCCGTCGGCTCCAGTAAACGTCACAGTCAAACACCTGAAAGCCAACTCAGCCGTTGTGACTTGGGATGTTCTGGAGGACGAAGTTGTCATTGGATTTGCAATTTCCCAACAGGTACAGTGCCTACAGTTACCCAGTTTCAGTCATGCTCATCTTCACCCCAGGTCCCCTCAGTTTCCACATTCTCTTGCTGCAGTTTAAGCCCATTCCTTCTGCCCTGTCCCTCATGGTCTGGAAGGGGACTTGCTTCCTGTCCTCTTTGCAGCAGCCCTTCACGTGTTGGTAACTGCAGAGAGGAAAGGGTCCAATGGTCACGTCCATGGTGGACAGGGCAGGAAGCAGCGGTCTTAGGTCACAGTAGTGCACACAGGAGGCCTCTCCACCACTCTGTGCTCTCCTCTCTCGGCTTCCAGAAGAAGGATGTGCGGATGCTGCGCTTCATCCAGGAGGTGAACACCACCACCCGCTCCTGCGCCCTCTGGGACCTAGAGGAGGACACTGAGTACATAGTGCATGTCCAGGCCATCAGCATCCAAGGCCAGAGCCCTGCCAGTGAGCCAGTCCTCTTCAAGACCCCCAGAGAAGCTGAGAAACTAGCCTCTAAAAATAAAGGCAAGTGTGGGTGAGTTCCTATGTGGCCCCGGGAAGCCCAGGTAGTGTAGGGCAGAGGGCTCCGCAGAGAGGAAAGTAGCACCCCATGCAGCGAGAACAGCCGGGCTAAACACAGGCAGGGCTAGTTCTTCTCTCACAGCCCCACTTGAACAAGCAGGACACCGTGAGCGTACCGCAGGCTAGGCAGATGCATGCGCAAAGCCCTAGGGAGACACTGAGGTTACGCTGCTATCAGGGCTGAACCCTGCGAGTTTGTACTTGCACGGGCTGTCGTCACAGTGCGACTGCAGCATCAATGTACTCCTGTGTGAGCACCTCTGGTAGAGTTACACCTCAATACTGAACAGAGTACACTAAGACTAGGACACTTCCACAAGTACTAACAATTTTAACTATATCACGCTAACTACAGCAGGCTCAGGGTGCCCCGGCAAAATAGTGCCAGGAGCTCAGCAGCCATTGCCACCAAAGCCTGCTTGTTCATTTCTCCCCCATTTCAGACCACGTATAACAGGCACAGTGCTGAGAAGAAGGTTTACAGCCTGGGATCTGTGTTCAGCATCCTTGCAAGTGGAGAATGCCAGGGGAAAGTCCTGAGCAGCCTGTGCTGGGAGGGCACTCGGAGGGACTGAGCCTCCTCTGCTTGGATCCCAGGAGAGCAGGGAAAAGATACTCAGAGACTCCCACTTTTCTAACCACTTCAGATGTTCCTGCCAAATCAGGCACTTCCTGACTGGCAGCCCCTTCATTTGTCCCTCTTGAGCCAAACCAGATGGTTTGAAGATTTTATGACAGCAAGGATCTGTGTTGGAAAAGCACCTGGGAGTGTAGGGGTTTGGGATATAAAGGATTACTGCTGCCTGCCAAAGGACCCAGCCTGTTGCAGGGCTTTTGGCCATGATTCCTCAGATGCTGTGAGTTCTTACTCTTTCTGCTAAAATGATTTGGTGTCTGTAAATACTGAATTGCTGTTCATCTGAAAGCACTAAGAGGAGCACTACTTCCCTCCCTGGAGGCCTGAATTGTAATCTTCTTAGTGCTTTGAGGCCAAGAAGGCACATTACGCCCCACAAAAAGGTTCTCCTCATTTCTGAATCCCATGGCTCCACTGAAAAATATCATGCCAGGCTCCACGCTCCTGAGCTGGGAGAGGAACTGCTGAGGCATGCAGGGCTTTGCGACAGACACAGCGGCTCTAACGGAAACCAGAGACAGAGCAGTGCGAAGCGCCACAGGGCCATTACCCCATGGCAGCTCCTCTGGGGTAACTGCTGTTGATCCTGTTTACTGCTCCTTGCTCATCCCCCTCTCCTTCAGGTTGCTGGGAAAGAGCGTGGGGCAGTTACCACAGAGCAGCTGATGCACTGCAAGTTCACAGCACAATTTATGCTCTTCGTGTGACTGGCGGGCGAGGACTCGCTCTTTGCTAGCTCTGACCCTGATGCCCTGATGAGTTGAGTCGAGGGCACTGTTAAACTAGCGTCTAGTGCAGCCGTGTAGTTAGATTTCATGATCTTTCTTTCCCCTTGTGCAGATGAGGTGACAATGAAGGAGATGGCGAAGAAAAACCAACAACTGCGAGCAGGGGAAATTCTCATCATTGTTGTGGTGTTGTTTATGTGGGCAGGTCAGTTCAAGCTTTCTGTCAGAAGCACATAACATCCCAAAGGCCTGCTTGGTTTGCACGTGTAATCATGTAAGATCTGACAAGAAATCCTTCCTCCCATAAACTGTATTGCATATTCAGCTGTAAGGGCACTTCATTTCCCTCTGTAGCATCAGAAGTTGGGCAGTGGGACTGGGTGAATCAGTGGTCTGATCTGGTATAGCAGGCAGTAGGATAATGGACTTGATGAACCACTTGTCCAATTCACCATGGCTAATCCCGCAATCTCAATTTTTCCAGAAAGAACTGATGATAATGCCCTCAGCCGTCCACCAGCATGCCCCAAGCCCTTCAAACAATACAGGTCACTGTCATTATCTGGCTTATTATATGACTCCAAGTCTCATGCAAAACAAATTCCCCTAAGAGTTCTGCCAAACAGACATCCAAGAGCGAGTTATGACTGTGTCACTCAACACCCGCTATTGTATATTTACTAAAACCCACTTCAAAATCCATTAAAATAATAGAAATATTGAAACAACAAATAGCCCCAAACACCAAAACATCAATAAGACCAGATCCTCTCAAAATCCAGCATTAATACAAAGCATAGTATGTAATAGGAAGAAGAGGGGCACTACAAGAAACACATTAACCAAGGAAAGAAAAGTCTATGCAAGCTTGGGATGGAGGAAAGAGGAAGGTGACCAGCATTAGCTGAAAGTTGGGCCATGTCTCGGTACCCAAAAGCATGCTTTGGAGCCCAGCTTTTGGCAATCTTTTGAAATCTGCCTTGGTCCTTCTCACACCCTGCAGCCACTGATCCTTTCAATCCGAGTGGAGGTTCTGTCATGAGAGGGTTACTGCAGTATACTGTTTTATAAGTAAGGCCACAGCTGTAGCTATGGCTGAGAGCATCTGATGCTGTGGGAGGTGAATAAAGCCATCCTAGGGCCTCTTTGCTGTGGGATGGGATGGCCATAGCTACGGGCACGTGCACTAACACAGCCTCTAACAAACAGATCATTAAATAAACACGCTCCTTCAGTATGAAGATCCTTCACTACAGCTTTTTGTAAGAAATACAAATATATAAATATAATATCCAAAGAGAAGCAAGAGTTCTCCGGCGTGAGTTTAGGATCACGTTTCAACGGGCCCTAACTAGGACAGATCTGGCTCATACATTTTAAGCTAGCAAATAAGGAGAGGAAAATGCCCGAGTCCTGCTTTATCCACTGATGAAGTCTGGAGTGGCTGCGGCTAGAACTTCGGCTTGTTCAGGTTGGAAATTATATGCATGAGTTAACGGGAAATAAAGTTTGCACATGTTTGTTTTCTATTTAGAGTCCCAGCCTCCCCTGGCTGCCACTCAGCTGCTGCTCCTGCTGCAACGTAAAACATTAATGAAACAGCATGATGTGTTTGTTCCCTATGAACCACAGAGCTCACTGCCCATAGGGGAAACGGTTCAGGTGACCCAAGGAAACTGGCAGGCGGGCAGGCAGGCAGGCAAATTAACGCTATGGTAAATTACATCACCCATAAAAGACAACCTTCGTCAGTCAGTATTTACTCCCCCTGTCCCAGACAAACCAGTTTTCCACACACAGAGCGTGTAAACCGTCACACAGAAAAACCTCCTAAGCAGGAATTATTGCTAAAGAAGGTACCAAATGAAAACCTAAACTAAGAATACAAGGTATCCAAAGCCTCTAGTCCATGGTGCTTTCAATGTTCACGTCAAGTTTTAGCTCTGCACGTACAAATTTAAATGTCCTGCCTGCAAAAACTATTATGAATAATTACACAAAGTGACTGAACAACTGATTCATCTTCCATTATAGTATGACCTAAAACTGAGATCATTGTTTGAACAAAGAATTTATGAAGGAAAGTGGGTGGAGAAAAATGTTTCTACACCTCATGGGCTCTTTACAAAGTTTCAATATACAAACAACTTTTTCCAGCCTTTAATCTGGCCTGGTAACCTGAATCTATGACAACGTTTCAGCAAACGCAAACTGCAACCGGTCTGTGCCCAGGGCTCTGGGCTCAGAGACAAGACCTAGGCTCTTTTGCTGACTATACCTCTGGTATCGTTCTCTCTTTTGCTTCTCTGTGCTTCAGTCTTACCCTCAGAAATGACAGAAGGTGCGATTATGGCAGATGTTAACTTATTCTCCTAGGATTAACCATTTGCTCACATACACGAGGAAGAATTTCGACCACTGTGTTTATCAGTAACACCTGGGGACAGCTGCCATAACACCACCTTACTTCATAAAGCACTTTGTGATAAACTGAAGAAAGCTCTACATATGTTCTCTGCTGCTAGCAGAGCTGGAATATTTTCCAGTATGGGAGAAGCAGCATCTGCCCAGCTCTCCTTTAACATTGTGTTTGGAATCTGCAGGCAGAGAAGTTATTTGGTCAAAATGTCAGGTAAAGGCTTCTGAGAAAGACATTTCCAGTCTTCTTATTTGTCATGACAGCACCTGCTTTGCTCTTTATGGGCCTCTGTGCGTGGGAAGAAATTTCCACTGGCAATTTTTGCTGTCATCGCTGTTGCATATTTACAGATGCTGCCCTGCTGCTCAAGGGACCCTGGCTTGTTTCATACACAGGCAGGTACAGTACCTGCCTCTCACCTCTCAGCTTCAGCTCCTTCTCTTCGTCTCAGAGGAGGATGATCAGAGGACACATTTCCACTAGCCAGAAATACCAGGAGCTCCTGTGCTTGCAAAGCCAAGATCCCATTTAACCACATGGTCAGTGTTAATGCCTATCCAAACATAGGGCTTAAAACACTTGTCCCATTTAATGACAGGGAAGTCAGAATATAATTAATCTTCTGTCCTGCCTAACTGGTTTAGCATGGAATTTGGCACTGAGAATCAAACAACCAGAGAGCTGACTAGCTGTGTTAGAAAACGATCCTTCGGAGCAATTGTCGATGCTGCTGAGATCTCTGCCAAGGCACAAAGCAGGCTGACAGGCAAGGGATCTCTGTTCACCGCAGGTTCCAGAGGCTGAGCTCATTTGTGTGATCACTAATGTTTTTTCCCCGTTAGGGGTGATCGCCCTGTTTTGCAGACAGTATGATATCATCAAAGATAATGAACCAAATAACAGCAAGGAGAAAGTCAAGAGCGCCTCGGAGAACAGCACTCCTGAGCACCAGAGCGGAGGGCTGCTCCGCAGCAAGGTGAGATGCTGCTGGCACATGGCAGGGGGATGTGGCAGCCAATCCACTTCCAGCTGCGCCTCAGCTAAATTACCCAAAAAGCAGCTTTTGTTCAATATCCTCACTGCAGCCTCTGCCGAGCCAGGATGTAGGAAGGGAAGACTCCTTCACCTCCACACATGCCAAAGCCACAGCTCCACGAGCAGTCTGAGCCTCCCAGGCACATCAGGACACAAGCATTTTACTCCCAGCTCCGGGTTAGCCTCTGTGTCCCCACCAGTAGAGCAGAGGTTCCCATCCATACAGTCAGCCTGCTTCTTCACAAAGCTGTTGTAGCCACAGCTAAGGCTAGCCTCAGCTCCAGCCCTTTCTCATTATCCTGAGGGGACAAGAACAAGAACTTTTGCAAAAACAAAGTTCTCCAGCACACTGCACTGATCTCCGATGTTTCTTTCTTTTCTCTCCAGTGATTCCTTTATGTTCTCTCTTCCTTTGTCTCCTCTTCTAGTTTCCAAAAAACAAGCCCTCAGTGAATATCATTGAAGCGTGACAGCCTGCCATCTGATAGATGGACTCCATTTCTCACTCTCACTTTTTGCCTCTGAGCCTTGATGACTAGGGAGGTGAAATACTGTTGGAGCAATTTGGAAAGAGACCTAGTGATTGTCACTTGCCGGCATAGACCTCCTTGTCTTTGCTCTGCAAAGCATCTGGCCAGAAAAAAATCCTGCAAAACACCCTGAAACCCAAACAAACGATTAAGATGGAAAAGTGTCATTGAGACAGCTGCTGCCTGTGATCCTGTACTGGACTCACGAATCACCTAGGCTGAACTGACTTCTCACACAGTCCTCTCCACCCTCACACTCCATCTTCTGGAACAATTTTCCTGTCTTTGCAAATGTATACGGTTTTATTGTATCTTTATTTTGTCTCACTGTCACTACATCTTGACAGTATTAACATGAGCTCAGGCATCAGTCACTGTCACCCCTCTTCAAGCAAGAAAGAAAAGCTCATCGCACACACGACTAGCAACCAGATTTTGGCTGCTATACAATGGAACAAAGCAAGCAGGAGCGATGTTTGTTGTGTAACAGGTCTTGCAGATGGGTTTTTAAAACAAAAGAAGAGAGGTATATCCCCCTCTCCATCCGAACTACGAGAACTTTGCCGGTTGTTCTCCAGTCAGGCTGCAGCATGTGACTCCACTGTTGCTCTCTCTCCTGTCTTGCACTGGTGTACTTCACCTTGGAAGAGTAGGGTACTCCGAACAGAGGCACAGACCAATGCGATAGGACACCTGAAGCTGCTGTTTTGCTTCCAGGATAACCATTTCAACCATTTTCTTCATGGTATTTTCAGCTGGGCCTGAGTCCACCAACAGTGTGATAAAAGGTCCATAAAAATGTAGCCAGTCAGCAAAAAAAAGAAAAGAAAAAACCTCGTGATACCGGTTGCTATGCAAGGTCTCCAGTGGCGATAGCTATTTATTGCTAAAGACTTGCCTAAATGACCTTTTTTCTGAGGGCTTAAGTTCTTAACAAGTTGCTTCTTTTAGTAGGGTTCCCGCGGGAAGGTCTGGTTCTCCTTACACGTCCTGTCTGCACTATTTTTTGTGACGTTGTAATGCCAGGTATTTGTTCAAGTCAGTCCTCCATAAAAAGGAGGACAAACGGAAAAGGGGATGGGGTTCTCCTCTCTCTTAACAAGTGCTGATGTCTGTAAGCTAACAGGATCTCTGGGACTGCTGGTGCTCTGGAAGCTGGTAGATGCAAGTCCATCACATGGAAAAGATTTATTCTTTGTAGTGTGCCATGGGGTATCTGTATGTAATTGTACCACAAGACCACTCCATACACACTAGGGGATGAGGCAAGATCCTATTTGTTCCATCAAAATCAAGATAGGTTGGCCTGAATAGGATTTAAATCTCATTATAACAAACCTGCACTCAGATAAGCCTGGTTTAAAAGTCAAAGCAAAGAAACAGGCTGGCAGTAGCTGAGTTCAGCTATCTCCCCACTTCCATAGTCACCAGCCTTTCCAAAATAGCTGATCTGGAAGAAATGCAGTAGGAAGTCTGCTTGCAGATGCAGTTTGTAAACATGCAAGGTCTTCCTTTGCGCCAGTTCCAGAAGGCAGGCCAACCCCAAACAAAAGGCTCATCATTGGATCCTTTGCCAGAAGATATTTCTCCATCACCAAGAGGGAGAGGTCAACACCTCTGATATAGATAGAGCAATAAACATTTTATAATGTCCAATAAAAGACTAAAGACATTATCTCGTGTCCTTCTAACATCTGAATTTAGTACCATTTCATCTTCACATGCTTTGAACAGAATGCACCCAATAGAATAGGGAGACTTCATATTTCCCAGGGACTATGACAAACTGTTTTCTCTGTGTCTGGATGTAGGAAACCAGAGAAGTTCAGAGTTCACTCTGGCTGCAGGATTTTTTTTTTTTTTTGGGGGGGGGGGGGGGGGGAATAGCACCACAGCCCTACCTAGCAAGATTCTTCAGACATGTCTGATCTCTCCCAAGAAAGAAATGGCATTTGGAATCCATAGCCCTATAAATGGAGATTTAGGACAGATGGTACAGCATGTGCAAAACAATAAGGGAGATGCTCTCTCATAATCCTAGAGCAGAGAGCCAAGTAAGCAGCCCTCAGCAGCCTGCTAGTAAAAAAATTCAGCCTGGGTAATTTGGCAGGTTTGGGGGGTGGGGGTGGGGGTGTTTCTTTAAAAAAACAAAGTTGTCCCTAGGAATTCAGACCGTAGGCCCCGCTCCTCCTTTTTTTTTTTTTCTTTTTTTTTTTTTTAATATAGCAGCTTTTGTTGCTCTCTAGTGACAGGTTTAAACCATTTCTTTCCTAACAGAGACATGCTCACTCCTGAGCGGTAGAAAAGAGGAATTAAGATGTAAAGCATCAGTGTTTGCTCAGAATTAAGTACTCACACCATGATGTGGCAGGAGGTAAAAGGGTTATCATTATGTTCCATATCTGCAGGCTTTAAAGGTAAGGTAATAGTGCTATTAGCGAAAAGAAACAAACATAGGCTGGCAGCAACTTGACTCAGAGAGGGGTTCCAAGCCATCAAATTCAAGTGATTCTCTTAAAGGAAATGTTTTCAGTAACTATGAATCAAAGTGATGTAATAAGTCTACACTTCAGGAAAAGGTGTCTCATTAGGAGTTGAAAGATTCCTAATGAGAATCGCCTTAAGTAAGGTGACTTAAGGTGTTATTTTCTAGAGGTCATAAGCATTACAGCCTTAATCGGTGTTTAGGTATCAACTTCTACTGTAACCCATGAGAGTCTGATACCATTAAGGCTCTGGGCCTGCATGACTTCAAGCCTAAGCCCATCTTTGAAAGAGATACTGGATTCTCATCAACATTTGCCAAAAAATACTCCTTTTGAGGAGACATAAGAGATGTTTTTCAGTCAGTATCAGGGGAGAAAGTGGTCAAGGAAAAAACCCAAGAGCGCTGAGGAAAAAAAAACGTGTTGGGCCACAAAAGAACTCACTCTAAAGGCCACCCACCTTTCCCTATACATTTTTGCCTGACTGCTGATTATTGGAAGTAGGGCCTACAAAGAGGGAGGTTTCAACAAATACTAAAGAGAAGTGAGTGGGAGTGCGCTTGCGTGAAGGGGAATCCAAAGAGCCCTGCAAGAACTGACTTACCATTGAACTTGGAACCAAAAGGAAAGCAAACCTCCAGCTGGCTTTGCTGATGGCGTGCAACCCCCTGGGGACCGATTCTGTCCATTTCCAGGAACTAAGTGAGCAGAGACTATGTGCACAATAAGGAGCAAGAAACAAAACAGAACCCTTGACTTTAAACATGCGCTGCATATATTGGTAAAGCACCACTTGCCTTCATCCTTTCAAGCACAGTAATCTTATGCCTACACGCACAATTTAGCCAATATATTCCTCCTCCACGAGTTTAGGAAAATCGAACCACAGGAGGCGGTGTAGAGCAAACAATCCTGCACAGCACGTCCTTCCAATTCACAACACAGTGCCATGCATTTCCCATCACCTCCCTCTGTACAATAAGAAACAGCACAAACTCTGTTCTCTGTCTCCTCTGAGGAAAATGAGAACATTAGGCATTTTATCCACTGACAGTTCAATAGCATCAGAGGAAGAAACACCTACACAACAGAAAGTGTTAGTATAATCTCAGCTGGTAATGACTTTCTAGAGGAGATGTAAATGGAGAGGAACAGCCTGCTAATGCCAGTATTTGCCAAAGACATTAAAGGTTACATCATTCAAAAGTGTATATCACAGCTGCATACCCATTTCACTGATAAAAAATATGGCAATTCATTGACTGAGTAGTCAGACTTCACTTCCCAACAAGGAGAGAGTTGAAGATTACACCATATGTTACACCAAATGCAACATCCCCAGATTTGCAAAAAGCTTCCTAATTACATTTAATGAGCTATTATTGCCTAGTCTGGAAGGAGAACCCTAACAAGCAGGCAAACTGACCAGATCTAATCCGTTTTCTAGCATTTGTTAAAAAGCGTTATGATCAACATGCTTGTTATGGTACAATGTCCTCTGTTTTCTCCACAAATCTGGTGTCTATTAAATAACTTGATGATCCTATAGATTAAAATGATTATGTTCCTACTTGTTGGTGCTCTTAGCCCACACGTCTCAGGGAGAGTGAGCTAGGTTCTATTTCGGCTCATCTATCAGCATCAATTTTGTTTAACTAAGTTCCAAATGAAGAACCTTTATTATTAGTGACAGAGCCAGGAAAGACGCAGCTTGAATTTTAGATCCCAGATGGAGTCAGCAAAGTTGGCAGCCAGAAAAGCCATCTTTTTGCTTGTGATCTGAACACGCTGGATGAGGAATCATTGAGTGGCAATAATGACATAGCTCCATGATGCCATTTGACACTTTCCAACACATCACTGTCCTTTTTAACTGACAAGAAAAACCTTACTTAGTGCCACCAACTGCTAAACATAACCTATTTATATCATCCAGACCTGTTTTTCAGAGGACACAGCCAGCATAGTTCTGAACATACTCTCAAACCAGGGCAAATTCTTCTAACTTCAGTGATGACTTACTGCAACCACAGATTAAGGGTGCTTTGTTTTTTTTTTTTTAATATTAGTTCCCCACTATTGTTTCAGGGTATAATTTCTTCCTATCCATTTGAAATTACCTTACAGCACAAAAGTAAGGAAGAGATAACTTTTAGGAGGACAGTAGAAAAAGCTATATGTACTAGCTGAACTTTGGTCCGACTGGTTTCTAGCTGCTGTTATTAGAGTGCAATACATCACCGAATGTCATTAGATTTTGACTTGTAAGACGTTTCATCATAGAGCTCACGCAGCTTTTATGCACTAGTGCCTTGCACAAAACAATCTCCTCCAGTTTTGTCTGATGTTGCTGGATTCTACTACAGCAAAAATCGTAAACAGAGTCCTTGGCTATATTCTAGCAGCAAACATGCAGTATGTCCTTCCACGAACATTGAATGCACCACCTCTCTCTCTCCCCTTGCAGTATCTCCACAGTTCAGCATCCATGAATCACAGCCACAACGTCAAAGAATGAAATCTTCAGCAACAAGGCTGCCCAAAAGCCTCAAGCCTTTACAAAGTGCAGAGTTGCTCCATGGCAGTGTTAATTCATGAGAGAGACAGACAGACAAACTCATATTCACAAAGACCACAAAACACACATTCAAGAGGTACCACTTCTGCCTGCAGTCCTCCAGCACAGGGAAGCTGGTCTCAGACCCAGCACACATACAAACATCATCATCTCACATCATCATCCTGACAAGGTGCTGCCTGTTCAGAATAATTTCATTTTCTGTTGCCAGTTCAGCCATGCTGAGAACACTTGCTTTAAGAAAAGGCCAACATAAACAACATCCTGACTGCCACACATCATTTAATACTAACCTCATCAACAGACATATAAAAAAAAATCAAGACAGCTAGCACAGAAACCTTTGAACGCATAAAAGCCAACACCTAAGCATACACAGCAAAGGGGGCAGATTGCCTGTGCTCTTCCTACCCCTCTGTCCCTGCTCCATTACAGTACTGCTGATCACCAGCAACCACCGATCACTGGTTGAGGCACAGCAGCATCCGACTGTAGCAACAGCTACCACCAGGCCTGCATTACCTCTTGGCATTTGGAAAGGGCCAGCATGTTACTAGTTTAACATCAGATAAACCCTCCAAGCAGGCAAGCTTCAGTCTGTTCTTACAAGGGGGGAGTCAGGAACAGGCTATGCAGTCAGTTCTGCTATCTCATTTTCCTTTCCAAAACGCCTAGAACAATGTGATTGGAAGCAAACTTCTTCCTGTCTTTATCATATATATCTGTAAACTCTACCTGCTTCTGATATAACAACAACCTGGATAACGTGAATCTGCCTTCATGACCTCATGTAAATTATTCTTTTCTCAAAGATGCCTCAAGTTAATATGTATTTTTAGCCTGCAAATCCTACAACAATCACCATGTGCTAATAACCCCTACACTAGCCAGCCAGTAGCTGCCAAAAGTTATTACCTTATTTTTCTATGCAAGGTTCTCTGTCAGTAAAATTTACAGTGGTAAGAGTCAGATACATTGGTGTTAAGAACTTTTTTTTTTTTTAAATAACTGGAGAAGATCAGCTGTCAACATAAAGCCCTAGCCCTGGTCATGCCCCACCTATGCCTGTGCAACCCATCAGAAGAGAGGCACACACACTTGCCCTATATGGATCCTTTCATTAATGGATGTAGAGCTATCTAGTATTTGCAGCCAGACAATTCCAAGTTCTATTCCAAGCTTCACTGCGTATCCTTTGGACATATTACTTACATTCTCTGTGCCTCAACCACAGAACATCTAGGACAATGACAAACCTTGCCCACTTTTTAAAGTCCCCCTTTCAGGAACACTGCCTAGTGCTTTGTTATGTTCTTTGGAAAGGCCTCTTTCTCCCTGACCCAACCACAGAAGGCTGAAGACTCCAATACACAGTAGTTTAAACAAAAGGCAAACTTCCCTCAAAGTGCTGTATGCACATAAGCACACCCATTTTCTACAGCTAAGCACATTCTCAAATAAGACAGAATTCTGCAAACTTCAAACAGTCTTATAGGAGCAACGTTAATGAATGAATTACATTTTACTGAACTTGGTTATCTCCAGGCCTCAGAGAGTTACAAAGCTTTTCCACATCATTAGATGTTGCTTTGCCTCTTGTGTGTTTTTTAAAAAAAAAAAAGCCAACTCCACTATCTTTTTTCTCCTCATTTGTGCAGGGACATCATAACTAACGAAATAGCATTTATAAACCGCAGACCCATCTGAGGGAGCATGAACAACCACAGGGGTCACTCCTACAAAAATACTGTCAAAACAGCTGATCTGGCAAAGGAGCATCTGGGCTGACACAG